CTTTTTAACTCATCTTTTATTCTGGTTTGTTTATTTTTCTTTTGCTGGCCTGTTTGTTTTCTAAAGAGAGAGAAAAAGGGGGTGAAGTTGGATAGGATGGGGTGTTGAGGAGAATCTGGGAGGAGCTGGGAGAGGGAAAAACATGATCAGAATATACTGTATGGAAAAAACTATATATATATATATATATATATATATATATATGTAAAATACAGGATATATTTGAGTAAATAAAAGACATTATTTTTTTTCTGAACTTGGTCATCCTGTAAGAGTTTTTAAATGTTTTCAAATTTGACAATGGTATTTCCTTTGATAAGTAGCATCCATGTTCTTCAGTTAGGTTTGCCTACTATAATTGGTCAAATTTTAAGATCTGCTTATATATATATATACATAAAACACAAATTTTAAAACCTGCTCACCACAAGGTTTTCATGCAAACTATGACTGTGTTATCTTTTTGTGTTTATGTATATATAATATATAAATTATATATTTATATATTTTGTGTTTATGTATATATAATATATAAATTATATATACATGTGTTTCTGTATATATAATATATAAATTATATATTTATATAAACGATATAATATATTTATATATCCTCCAAAACTTTGAAGCTTTCTTCTGTAAGTCCGTAAGAAATATTTTTGGATAGTGTTTTATTTTTCTATTTCTATTTCATAAAATGATTAATTTTTTCCAGATTTGGAAAACACAAGAAAGGCTGTATTATTCATGATCATAGAAAGCTGTCTTATGCTATTTTCTACACGTTTCCTCAAATCAAGAAGGAGAATTAGGAAAAACATATAGTAATAGGAATAAAAAGCTGAAGGCTTCGACTTGAGAAGAGTGGAAGACACAAGGTCGCTTTACCAATATCCTCTTAGAAGAGATCATTCCGGAAAGAGAGGGAAAGGTAGATACACAAGTCACAGGATGTGCTTTCAGAAGTTCGGGCATGCTACTGTCAATCGAATCCCTTCAGTTCTAAGAAAGATTCTTTTGTTCATTGGTGCCACAGCTGGATAGAAATACTGATTGCTTCCCTCCCTTGGCACCTTCTGGTCCTAGGAAGTCTAGACTGCTGGGAACAGGCTTTCAGATTAGACCCAGATTGAATCCTCTGAGTCCTGTGTCCACAGTGTCTTCAGCAGCAGGACTTAACTTCAACACAGAGAGCTGATATTGTTCTGGGAGCCGCTAGAGGTTTCCTAACCAACAATGCAAATGGCAAGACGTAAAGGGACTCTAGTAGTGTTCATGTCTTGGAAGTAGTAAACAGCTGTCTAACTGGACTTAAGGCCTCACTCAACAGGAGGGAAACTGTGCCTGGTATTAGAAACCTAACCCATTACTTGGTGCTAGTAAAGTCATAGGTCTTAGAGAACCTGTTATTGCCACTTTATTAGACCAACATTACTCCTAAGTGCATTCTAAAACATCCTTCTATAATAGATTAGTTAGTGTGCCTCTCATCCCATCAGAGAAACTTCTCTTGGTAGCAAACAGTTACCATTACAGAAAACCAAAACTGGTCATAATGCAGAGATCAATTGATTGTGGGGTACTGAGGCCCAACATATACACACATCTGCAATACAAACGCTGCCCTAATGCTCAGGGAACATCAAAGGAGAGGAGGCAGGAAGGTTGTAGAAGCCAGAGGACCAGGACGTCTACTGTGAGATTACATCTCCTAAAAATGACAGGAAAGGTACACTCATGTCACCTCAACAATATGGCTGCCTAAACAAGACCTGAACAAGAACACCACCGATAAACATACTAATGTGGAAGGGGGAAGTGTTGCAGGATTCCCACCCCTAAAATGTGAACAATAGGCATAAGGAACAATGAAAGAATGAGAATTATCCTTTCCCAGGGATGAGCCTGCTAATTGATTGTTCAATACAAAATAGTCAGCCGTGAAATCGTATACATGCAAGCCACACTAAATGGCCTCAGCACATTGGAGGTACAGATTTGGGATGGGTAGGGAAGCAGGGATGGATCTGGGAAGAGTAGGGTGAGGAAGTATAGATGGTCAGAATACACTGTATGGAATTCTCAAAGAACTAATAAAAATGAGAATGATAAAGAGAAAGAGTTGTTAGTGTCAGCAATATGCAGCTGTTGGTGTGGATTAGGCAAGATACTCAGAGTTCTCTGAGAAGCAATCATGCAGAATTGGACCCTGTTGGGATTATGTCACAGGCTGTCAATAGTCTCTGCCTGACTTGTTCTCCTCTAGCAAATATTGACTTTTAAAGTCATATCCTTTTCTTTGTGTTGAAGATGATGACAGAATGCCATGTGAGTTATTGCTGGCAGCCTCTGGCTGACTACGGGCCTGTCCAAGAATAGAAGGTCTTGCCTGAGCAGCTGGTACATTCTTTATTAATCATAAGGAATGAGTTACAATCATCCATATGCTCATCTAATTTGTTAAAGGAAATTTCAGTAATTTTGAGAATATACCACATTCCTTAAAAAGAATTAGGACTAAGTCAGGAGGGAGGGAGAGAGGGAGGGAGGGAGGGGGAGGGAGAGAGAGAGAGAGAGAGAGAGAGAGAGAGAGAGAGAGAGAGAGAGAGAGAGAGAGGGAATGAATTACAGAGATGTGGGACCTTGAGTAGACACTGTCCAAAAGAGAAATACCTTGTCTACAACACACCTATTTTTGGCTCATTAACCTCTCTTTCTGTGCACCTTCTAGCTAATTTATTATAATTTATTACCTTCCACCTATGCTGTTGTTGGTTGGTTCTGAGATAATGTTTGTAGGAAAAGTAATTTGACTTTTTTCCTTATCTATTTTTAATGTTATTCCCCTACTCCCTTATAGACGGGCACAATATTCCTGGCAACAACCTGTAGTAAAGAGTTTATGCTTTCTGGAAGCCACTGTTTTAAGTTGTGCAAATGCCCTTTTCCTGACTCCTTTTCTGCCAATACAATCATTTCTGTAGGTAGAAAATTATTTTCCAGTTATTAAGAACATGAACTGAGGACTGAACAAAAACAAAGGGGATGAAGAAGCTCCTGGGTGTTCTACACAGGTTTATGACAACTTCTACCCTACACTGATATCTGTGTGTATATATGTGTATATGTGTATATATACACACACACACACACACACACACACACATATATATATATATATATATATATATATATATATATATATATATATGATGAGAGAGGGTGAGGGTGAGATAGAGAAATGGACTTCATTAAAGGAAAATAAGCAAGTGTTATTCTTCATACCACTTAGAAGCCTTGATTTATGCAGCAAGAGGAAGGAGGGAAGGAAACACTTGTAGTGGTCCAGCCTTGTGACTCAATCTGCACAGGAGAAGCTATGAAGGAAACTGCTGCATTGAAAATGAAGTTCATGAATTGCATGGGTTTGTTTGGGGGAGAAGGAAGGGAGCGAATGTGAAATGTTTATGTAAACCAAAGCAACAGAAAGGTAGCAGTAGTCCTATCACTCATAGGGGCAAAAATCTCATTTTCTCACACCCTCCTTCCCCACCAGGTAACTCAATTTGTTAAGATAACATGACTTCGAGGCTTCAGGAAAGACCAAGAAAATTAGGTAAACAACTGTAAATAATTGACTTACACTGTGAGCAACATGGAATTATGTATCACTTGGGAAACCAATATTTGTGGAACATTTAATTTAATCACCCTCAACACTCAGTCTTTATAGTCACCTTGTGTTGGAGGTATCCTGACTATTTTTCCACTTTTCAATTGCAATAAAAAAATACAATAAACTAGTAAATTTAGATGAATAGCCCTTTACTCACACTCAACAATGAGATTCAAGATATCTTGCTATAGAGGCTGGGCTGGCATCTCAAAGGGTAAAATCCTTGCCTTGCACACATGAGGACCTGAATTGAATCCCCAGAACCTTTGTGATAACCCAGGTGCAGGGCTAGGGAGCTGGTTCAATAGACAAAAATATTTGCTGCACACATAAGAAAACGTAGGTTCAAATCTCCAGAACCCATATAAAAAGGTGGGTGTGGTCACTATGCACTGTAACTCCAGGGCTGTTCAGGGAAGGGCAGAGACAGGAGGATTGCTGCACCTGATGGCCACAAACTTAGCTCCGATTTTGGGAAAGACCTTGCCTCAAGGAAATAAGGCAGGGAGTGACAAAGCAGGGCACTCAGTGTCCTTGTCCAGCCTCCATAGAGAGGAATATGTGTTCATGACACACATGTGCAAAACTACACACACAAGCACAAAAACTGTATGCACAAGCACAGAAACTACACACACACACACACACACACACACACACACACACACACACACACACGGTAGCATATGGTGGCAATACTGGTATTGGAGAAGGGATGTCAGAGGGATGCTCCCACACTTGCTGACTAGGCAGCTTCGCCTAATTGCTGAGCTTCAGGCCAAGGTGTAGAGACTTAGAACAGTCAAGATTGAAAACTGACTTCCACATATATATGCACATGTATGTGCACCTGCACACACTTGAACACATGCACACATGTATACACTCCCCCCACACACGTACATACACAGGCATGCAAGGTATGGCTAGTTAGAATTCAAGAACATAGCAGAAACCTTCTTACCTACCTCTCTCTAGTATATGAGTAAATTTCCATCCTAGAGGTACCCACTCTGTCCTCAGAGGAAAGGAACATACTTATATCTGAACACATGGGATGGAAGACAATCTGAGCAGATCTGGTCTGGCAAAATCCCCCCAGTTTGTCACTGTACTCTCATACCTGTGTTCAGTTATTCTTATCTATGAACTTCTAACACACTCAGCATGAAAATACACAAGGTTACTCACTCATTTTAGGGCCCCGATTTCTTGCGAAGGCTCCTCTATTTTATGAAACTGTATGCTTGAACCAGGTACTTCCTATTGTTGTGATAAAATACCAAGAGCAACTTAAAGGAGAAAAGGGTTTATTATAGCTTACCATTGCAGAGGGATGGAGTCTACCATGATGGAGCAGGCAGAGCAACAGACAGGGAAAGCATGGTGGCAGGGACAGGAAGCTGGCTGACCACAGTTCCTCCACACACAGGAAGCACTGGGAAAGGGGGTAACAAACAGGAAGTGAGAGAAGGCTATTCAATCTCAAAGCCCACCCACAGTGGCATACTTCTTCCAGCCAGGCTCTACCTCCCAATCTTCTCAAATATCATAAACTGGGGACCAAGTGTTCCAATTGATGAGCTGTTGGAGGACATTTTTCATTCAAACCACAGTGTTTTTCTCTTATTGGTTTATCATGTTATGTGGACTTCATCCAGAAACCAAGTGGTAGCTTTGGAAAGATGCCATATTCCCTCCATAGTTAACACAAAACCTAGACCCACATCTGTGTGTATCCATCTCCAAATCCCATGCTTTCCCATCACCTTCAAAGAATCACTCAATTTATGATGAAGTATGATCCTCGTTATATATATAAATGGTCACCCTTATAAATAAGAGAGGAAATACTGGTGAGTTTCAAGAGTCCACTAACAAAATGTAACTGATGGGACCAGACCACATATTTTACTATCAGTAACTCCAAAGCAACGTCGATACCATCTTGAAGAATTTTCAGAACTGTTATACAGTAGTATGCCCATATGAAAACTACAGTCACGTTTAGCAACATGTAAGATTGGATCTATAGCAGTTTCTGAACTTCCATTCCACTTGATTCTGGTCCATGAGCCTCAGTGTGGGCAAAGATTCTTCAGCCTCCTCAGGTCCCGACTCGCCTCCACATTACAAGGTATGCATGACCTTATAAGATACTCTAGCCCACACTGTCATCTCATATATGTTTAAAACTATTATTAAAATGGTCTAAGTTATATCATTTCAAAACATTTGAAGATGTCCCCATGTGTTTGAAGAACTTCTTAGTGCTCTCTGAATTGAGATTAAACATCCAGAAGCTTTTATCATTAACTATCACTGTCGTCACTCTTTCCTGAGAGTTACAAAAACTGGTCCTTGAAAGTTTGGGATACTAAAAGAGATAAAGAGATTACTAGGTGACTCTTTCATGTTCCAAATTACTTGAGGGGTGAGGATGTAGGATCCACTTTCTCCCTTATAATAAGTGCCAGCCATTGAATCACTGCTTGTGAGCCACAATCCAAGCCACACCAAGTGCCTCATGCCAGGCTCTATTGGTTTTCTACAATAGAGCCTGTTTTCTACAGTTGTGTTTTCTGCTCCTAGAAAATGCCCCCAAGACAACTCTGCTGTCAAAAATGTGAGTTTCCCTTAGTGGAAGGTCAATAGCATCTCCACATCCCCAGTCAGGAAGAAATGAGATGCCAAGCATGCCACCCACTAATCATCCACCTTTCAAGACTTGATTTGGTATAATTTTCTCTGAGGATGAAGAAGCTGACAAAAATGCTCTCCGGGTGGAAAACAGGCTTGTAAACCTGCCCGACTTATTATTTTCTGCCTGAAAGCAATAAACATCTGTTTTCTTGATAAAGTAACCAGGCTCAGATTGGAGGGGAACAAAGCTATTTAGTTCAGCTCCAATTATGGATTCTTCTAGAGAATATCACCCTGAGGGCTCTGTACTTTGAGATACTGAACATTACCCCAAACCCTCCCGATTCCCCTCTGCATCGTCAGCCCAAATTCTATGCTGTGAGACATTTCTTCATACTATAAAACGTTGGCAGATGTTATTGAGCACAGGAAGGAGGGAATAGATGCCCACCTCTCTGAGATATTGTGAACTAGACCAAAGCTTAAGGAAGAGACACTTTCTCAATTAATAGAGTTCACTCCAAACTCATTTCTTACATCCTATACAATCAATGAAATCTAGAAAGAGACTGAATGTTTATCTTTACTTTTCATATCTGTGTCTCATTACCATATGCAGAACACTTTGACTATTCTTGGCTAACAAAGAAAGTATTCCATCTTAGGCTATTCTAAAATTGCAATAAAAAATTCTTATCATTTATGTTTTACTAAACCACTTTTGAAGACTGGTTAAGTAAAGTAGTGGGGGTGGAAAAGGAAAAGAGAAAGCAGTAATTGTTCTGACCAAGTAGCTGCAAACGGCTGGATTTGGACTAATTAGCAACAAAACTTTTTGAGTATTGTAGGCTACCAGAAACTTTTTGTTGCTGTTGTTGTATTTAAAGGCATATTAAGAAAGAAAATCTCATAATTCCTCACCTGTAAATTTATATTCTATGGGATTAAAAAACATTTCTACTGTAGAAGACGACTGTACAATGGAGAGAAGAAATGAGAATCAGGAAAGCCAGAGGCATAATGATAGAAGACATTTGGAGGAGGATGACCAGAATGAGGATCCCAGAGAACGGAGCAAAAGCTTAGAAGGTGAGAGGACTAATCAAACGGCTATGGAAATACAATCAAGGGAGACAGGAATGGCAGAAGCAAAAGCCTGCCTGCAAAGTTCAAGGAGCAACACAGAACCTAACGTTTCTAGAGAGGAGTGCCCGCAGGAAAGAAGTGGGATGTGACGTCAGAGAGGTTGACCAGGAGTTAGATAGATTCTTTAGGTGGAGTAAAATATTTTCCCAGGATATTGAGCAATGGAGTCACATGATCTGAATCACATTTTAGAAGGGTGCCCTGTGGAAAGAGACCGTAGATATTGAGTAATCAGTGTAGCATCAAGGAATGGTTACAGAGAGCAGGCATCTAAGCTAGAGGCTTAGGAGAGGGGGCAATGGAAGAAGAAGCATGGGATTCTGCATCTCTTTGAAGAGTCAATATGATTAGACTAGCTAGGAGTGAAAGCAGGGAACAGGAAGGATGTGTTGAGGTAGGTTCTGACCTGGGAAGGATGTGCATAAATACAAACAAGATGGGAAAACAACTGAAGGAAAGACACCAATGTCTATTAAATACCTCATATAGATGTTGCACGGGCAATTGGAATTATAAAGCTCAGATTTCAGGCAAAAGATGTGAGCTAGAGACATCAATCTGGTAACTGTATAAGATTTGAAACCATGCTTCTGCAGGATACTACCACAAGTAATTATAGATAAGAATCAAAGATTGAAGCTAGGTGTGGGGGGGGGGGGCTTGCCTTTAATCACAGTATTCAGGAGGCATAGGCAGGCAGATCTTTGAGTTCAAGGCCAGTCTGGTCAACAGAGCGAGTTCCAGGACAGTCAGAGCTACACAGAGAAACCTTGTCTCAAGGGGAAAAAAATTTTACACACACACACACACACACACACACACACACACACACACACACACACACACAGAGCACTGACCAACAATCAGGTAGAGAACCACAGCTGGTCACTGAGCTAAACATGTGAACCTGATCAATGACCTCAAGGAGAGCTAGTAAAGAGGATAGTGTTTACTTGGAGAGAAGCAAGAGCAGATGGGATCTGCTATGCAGGACAGAGTACTTGGGAATGTGATCACAAATAGGCCACTCATGGCCATGCCTCTGCTAGAGGATGTAGATGCAGAGAAGCAGGTGGAGGTGATGGTGTGTTTGGCAGAGTCCCTTTAGGGTACTCAATGAGGTGAGAAGCAAGGGCATCAGGCGAAAATGATGGGGGTAGGGTGGAATATTTGTAAGATTGTGTGAGAGAGTTGCTTGTGCCAGTATGAAGTCATTGGGCCAGGAACGTGGGCATCAGCTGGAAGACTGCCGGACATGAACTCTCAATCCCCAGGACTGAACGAAAAGTTGCATATGAACAAAAATTCCAAGTGTCTCATCTGTGAATGAGGGGAAATGATGGTGGCACAGTATGCATCAAGGTTGTAGTTTCAACAATAAACACATAACATTCACCGAGCTCTCATCAGTCAGGCCTTGGTAGGAAACAGAATCCACTCAGGTGGTTTCACTCAGTGGCTATCATGTCCATCTGGGCTTCATTACCTGCAGAGTTGTTGAACAACGGGCCTCTCTACAGGCCTGTAACATGGCTCTCTGGGGGGATAAGAGCCGAAGCATGGGTAGTTGCCAGAAGATTCCATGGTGATTATAATGTGCACTGTGGCTTGTGAGCCACCAAGGTAAGTGGTTAGACTGCAAGGAGGGGGCTGCTCGCAGGGATGTGGGCAGACTTACAAAGTGAAAACGAGAAAAGGAAGCACCCAGGGACCAGCAGATAGAGGAAAAGCATTAACTTACCTAGGGCTGAATAACAAAATGAGGAAACAGTCCTACTGCAGAGAATGAAGAGCAGCCTGGTGGAGTTTAGAAAGGAGAGACAACGGAGGACGGGATTGCTTCCAGGTAGTGAGCAAATTGGGACCCAGCAGGACTTAATTATCTCCTCTTTATTCCCATCGCAGGGCTACGATGTTTCCTCCCATTGGCTGGCTCCCAGCTGAAGCTGGCAAGGCACCTTGGGGTATGTAGTCCTCCATTGTGGTCTGTAGTCCTGAGAAGAGAGGAGACCAGAGAAAGATTGCTGAAGAGGCAGATGGAGAATGATCATGAAAAGCCCTTGGTGGAGGACCAAGATGTTTTCCAAGCATTTTATATGGATTAACATTTTAATATGTGACTTCATTCCTTTTTATTAAAACACAGTACTTTCTTATTGATTAAGGCTCTATGCTAGGTCAATTAATTATTAGAGACAGTTTAATATTTTAACATTTAAACATATACTATCTTCTAGCTGAAAACTTCATTTTTTTTTCTAGGTGATAAAACTAGCACTGATCTTCTATGGACTGAAGAAAGTCTTAATATTCGGTCAAATTCAGAATATAATCTAGACAATGAAACAACTTGGGACTAATGACCGAGTTTTCAAGTTCTTACTCAGAAAACATAATATAGAAAGATACAAAGGGCCCATCAGTTGCAGGTCCCTCTGGAATTCTATGTCCTGTTTCATGAACATCCTAAAGAAATATGCAAGGCCAATTATGCTTGTAAATTCTTTTGTTTTCAGTTATAAGCTATGTTTGGACAACATCAACAGCAGTTCTGGAGAAATAGGAAATATGTGATTGCTAGAAGACAGGAGTGAGTCATTAGCTGAAGCGGGTAGAGGAAGCATTCCACCCAATAAAGACAGAACATAAGACATAAACTGGGTCCTGTTTCTGAGCTATTAAAACTTAACCAGAGTGTGGCTGGAGAGAGAACTCAGTGGTTAAGAGCACTTGTTGCTCTTTCAAAGAACCGGGGTTTTGTTCCCAGCACCCACATTTGGCTCACAACCTCCATAACCCCAGGAGATACAACAGGGATGCATGTGGCACTCATAAACGCATGCGGGCAAAACATTCATACAAATAGAGTAAAAATCAATAAATCTTTTTAAAAAAGCTTTATATTAACTACAGCCTGGAGGTGGGGCTTAGTTGGTAGAATGCTTATCTAACATATGTGAGGCCCTGGATTTGATCCCCAGCACCATATAAACCCTGAAATTGAGTGAAGTGCTAGGATATTGGTAATCTCAGAACTTGGCAGGAAGAGATAGGAGGATGGGGAATTCAAAGTCATCCTCAGCTACAGTATAGTGTTTGAGGCCAGCCTGGGCTACACAAGACCCTATACCAAAAGATCAGCCACAATGACAAGTAGCCTGTCCTTAAGAGGGGCATTTTCCTAGGCCCAGAAGATGAGCTGACAAAAAAAGCTTCCGGGGGTGGTGGTTGTTTGTTTTTGTTTTCGTTTGGGGGGCCCACCATCCAGCTCCCAAATAAATCACACATGGAGGCTTACTCTTAATTATGAATATCTGGCCTTAGCTTGACTTGTTTCTTGCCAGCTTTCCTTAACTTTAAATTATCCTGTCTCCATTTTGCCTCTGGGCTTTTCCCATTCTCTTACTTCTGTAAATCTTACTCCGAGACTGGCTGGGTGGCTGGGTAGCTGGTCCTTGATGTCCTCCTCCTTCTCTGGCTACTACTTTGAAGCTGCTTCCACATCCAGACATTTTACTAACCAGTTAATAAGGCTGTCTCAGTAGTGGCCATATTTATTTAACATGAGGTTGACCAGTCTAGGAGAGAAACAGAGCCAGGCACTGGTGGCACACACCTTTAACTCCAGTATTTGGGAAGCACACATGCTATTCCCATCACTAGGAAAGTTAAGACAGGAAGTGAAATGACTGGGCAGAGAAAGGCATATAAGGCATGAGGAGACAGGAACTAGAGAGCCTTTCAGCTGAGGACTCAGAAGAATTCAGTCAGGATTCTTGGAGACAGGATCAGCTAAGGAGTTGTCGAGGTGAGAAGTGTCTGTGGCTTATTGCCTCTGATCTTCTAGCATTTACCTCAATATCTGGCTCCAGGTTTTTATTAAAAGACCAATTAGGATTGATGCAACAACACACCTTAAAATAATATTCCCCAATAGGGGCTTGTCAATGTCATCCACAAAACACAGCTGTTGAGAAAATGAGTGGGCAACAAGGCCGGGAAGCTCATCATCCCCATAACTGCTTTTTGCGGCACCAATCCTGTTTCACTGATGGAGCACAAAGGTCCAGCCCAGGAGAACAAGGGCCAAGAGTATGGGCTCAAGACAAGGAAAACAGGAGACCTGGGGACCACAAGGGTATCTCATAAAGGATGCTCCTGTGGGTGCTGCTGCCATCAGCACTTTTGGTTCTGTCCTCTGTCATTCTCTCCTCGAGGGTGATGTGAACCCAATTCCTTTAAACTCTATTGTAAAGCCTCATGTTTGGAAACCACACTGTGAATAAGGGCACACGCTTCTTCAATAGCCTGCATGTGTGTTTGTTTATCTGGCAATTCTTTGCCAGATGCCCAATTCATTTTTTTACTTTTTAGCATTTCCTTTTAACTAATACATGAAAAATAATTAAAAAAACTTGTCTTCTTAAACACATGGCATATCATTTTGTTAGACATCTCAAATAAAAAGAATTTTCTACCCAGCCATCCTTTTCTAATATTATATTTTAAGCCCTGTGACAAGTTCATTAGAGAGAGACGGTGTCTTCAAAATTGCACTCTACCCGAGACTTTGAAGCTGCTTCCACATCCAGACACTTTACTAACCAGTTAATAAGGCTGTCTCAGTAGTGGCCATATTTATTTAACATACATTACAATCCCAACTGACACTTCCTAATGAGTCTCTCGATGCTACAGAGAAAAAGCTCTCCCACTCTATAAGTGTAAACTCATCTGTCCAAAAGGAAACATAGTTGTGATGTTTAAATGGCCCATATCGATCCTCCACAGTCTCTCTGTGTTAGGCTGGTGCCAGTCCTTTAATTTGCACCCTGAAGGGTGCAGCCTCACTTGATTTAGATGTCAGAATAAGGCAGTCTATCAGTTTGAGAGCTCAACTGAAATATTTTAGAAAATTGCTTTGGATATCTTCACCTTGCCATGCAAAGGCCACTGCTCTCCCAGAAACAAAGGGCTAAGTAGTGTGACTTCCATAGATATCTTGAAGCAAGTTTAATCAAAGGAAATCTCAGAGTCAAAACTTGCTATGTGTGGTACTGTGTCTTCACAGAAAAGTCCACTTACAGAAATGTAATGCCAAGGCTATAGAACGTGCACTCCAAAGGAATGACGACACAGGGCATTGTCTTTAAATGTGAAGCCAATACGAAGAACGTTCTAATGAAACTCTTTCTGGAGTCAAGTGTGTCCTCTGTATCTAATATTTCAGAAGATGCAGGCACTTTCAAAGATGTCAGCCTGCTCAGATAGCACCACCGTGTTGTGGTCACAGCTATGTCCCCTGCCTCAGAGAAACTGACCGCTTCTAAGAACATCAAAAAGGGTTGAAGAAACAGCATCCTGGGGAGCCTCACAATTGCTACCCAATACTGGCAAAGCATGAAGGAAACTATTTCTTTCCAAATTGCACTGAAATATTGAAATTCCTAGGATCATGAGCCACACACTGTATAATTATACAATTATAATCCAGATATAATCCTTTAGAAACTAGAAGGAAGGTTGAAGATAACTATTGGCTTTTTCTCCTCTAGTGTCCCAGTGTCCTGGTGAGGGTTACTATTGCTGTGATAAATCATCATGGGGAGAAAAGGGTTTATTTGGCTTACATATCCATATCACTGTTAATCATCAAAGGAAGTCAGGACAGAAACTCAAACAGGGCAGAAACCTGGAGGCAGGAAATGGCACAGTTACATGGAGAAGTGCTGCTTACTGGCTTGCTTTACTTGATTTTCTCAGCTTGCTTTCTTATAGGACCTAGGACCACCTGCCCAGGGGTGGCACTACTTACTTAGGGCTGGACCCTCCACATCAATTATCAATCAAGAAAATGCCCATACAGACTTGTCTGCAGGCCAGTCTGATGGAGGCAATTCCCAAGTTGAGACTCCTTCTTCCTAGGTGACTCTAGCTTGTGTCAAGTTGACAAAACACTAACCAGCTCTGCATGTGACAGGAAACATGTAAAAGTTGTCTCTATGGGACTGACCTACTTCATTTAATATGATCTTCAGGCCCATCCATTTGTGGCAGACAACCTAATTTAAGTGTTTTATGGCTAAGTAAAACCCCATTGTATATGTATGCATGTGTGTATGTGTGTGTGTGTGTGTGTGTGTGTGTGTGTGTGTGTGTGTGTGTGTGTGTGCCACTTTTTCTCTGTCTACTGTCAATAGGTACCTAGGCTGATACCATAATTTGCTGTTGTAATAAACATGATATGGAGGTATCCCTACGGTAAGGTGACTGATTATTTTTTGTATGTACCCTGAAATGCTATGGCTGGTTCATATGGTAATTCTATTTCTATTTTTATGTTTGAGATTCCTCCATAATGATTTTCATAGTGATTGAACTAATTTACATTCCCACCAGCAGTATAGAAGGGATTTTTCCCATATCCTCTCCAGCATTTGTGTTGATTTGTTAATGATATCAACACACTGATTGAGGTGAAGTGAAATCTCAATGAAGTTTTGATTTTCACTTTTCTGATAACTAAAGATATCGATATTTTTCGTGTATTTCTTGGGGGCAGAAAAGAGGGCATGAATACTGTGATTAAAGGAATGAGAGAGGAGGAATGAGGGATTAAATAAAGAATAGGGAGAAAGAAAGATTTGAATACATTATGTACATGCATGGAAATGTCATAATTCAAATCCTTTATGTAATTGGTGTATACTAATAATTAAAAATTAAAATACAAAACTAAAAAATATCAATTGTTCTTTAGGGAAAAAGAGATAAAAAGTAAGAAAAACAAGTTACTTGCCCAAGTTATAGAGCTTGTTAAGAGTAATTACACCATGTTTACAGAAATGGGTGAAACTAGAAATTGTAATATCAAGCAAAATAAGCCAGGTTCAGACAGACAAATGTACCTTCTTCCATATATAGAATCTAGATACAACAACAACAATCACATGAATGTAGAAGGGATACTATTTGGGAA